GAATTGCTAGCTCAGATCTGCTGCTGGACCCCTCCTGTGAATTTTTCATTTAGTTATTCAGCTCCAGTAATTCTCTTCCTGTTTGTAATCTTTATCTCTTTATTGATATTCTCATTTTATTTTTATATTGTTTTCCTTTAGTTCTTTGTGTTTTCCTTAGCTCTTTGAGCTTATTTAATAATGTTGTTTTAAAGTCTTTGTCTAGTAAGTCCATTAACTGGGTTCCATGGGTACAGTTTCTAAAGTCACGTCAGTTTGGTCTTTTGAAAGGTTAGTTCCTTCCTGTTTCTTTATATGCCTTGTGATTTATTTTTTAACTAGGACATTTGAGTATTATAAGGTGGTAACTGTGGAAATCAAATTCTTCCCTTCTTCGATGTTTGTTCTTTTTGTTTGTTTCGTGTTTAAATTGTTGAAGGTCGTAGTCATTCTTTTGTTCAGTGTCTTCCCTGACTATTTTTTTAAAGCCTTTCTTTTTATGTGTGGACAGTGATGTCTCATTTCTTAGCTTGCATTCAGCTAGTATTTTGACAGAGATTTTCTTGTACTCCAAAGGATAAAAGTAAAACCTCTCCCAGTCTATGCAGATTGGCTCTGTGCACAGGGACCTCCTTCCGCACTTAGCTAGGGATCAGCCTGAGGTGAAAGTATAGGGTCTTCCGACATAATTTTTGAGCACGTGTCTTTCCCTGGGCATGTGTATGGTGTTTTCAGTGCACCTGTATACAGGATGCTTTTGAAAGCCTTAATTTTTGAAAGAACCTCTCTTCTAGGCCTTTCCTTCCTGCCGTTACGTCCGTGTCATGTGCCTTCAGCCCCAGGCTGCTATAGGCGGTTACAGCCTTAGGTTCTTGGCCTGCTGCGTCAGTCTGCATGAGATCCCAGACAGGCTAAACCGAGAGATGTGCCCTGCTGCAGTCCTTCAGGCAGCCGCCCGACGAGTTAGAACAGACGCACACAGTCATTGGCTAATAAAGTCTGCTCTGCTTCATCTGGAACCAGAGACCAGGCTCCCACTCGAGAAGTGCAGACGACAGCTACCACTTTAACATGGCCACATGGACCTGGGGAGTGGGTCGTGTGCAGGGAAGTAGAAATCCAAAGTTCTCCTGTTGTTTCGATGTTCCTTTTTTTTTTAATTGAGTGTTTATTTTAATTTACTGTAACCTTTTGACTAGTTTCCAGATACCTGATAAAGCTGATTCTGTCAGTTTCTGCTTGTTTTTTTGGGGGGTATTTTAGTGGGAGGATAAGAGTGTGCTGCTGCTTCAAGCCACTGTCTTGCTTCAGGCCTCGTGCTTACTTTTTAGAGATGTTTCTTCCAGTGGCCCTTTTAAAGATAAATTGGTGAGTCTCAAAACAAACAAATGAAAACAAACTTTACAGTAAATACTACATCAGATTTCACAGGACTCCACCTTTAGGTGCTTCAGTATGGTCTGGAAGCATAACACTTAAACATGGTTCCTCAAAAGCAAATTTTTAGGTTGCTAAAACCATGTTTTTGATTAAGATAATTTAGATTATCTAGAGGAGTAGACAGAGCACATGGTCTTTAAGCAGCTCTCTATAAATATTTCTCTTGACTAGGCTTTTGAAAAATAGAGGCAGTAAGTTTGATGCTATATGCCCTCTTCAGTAGATACTATATTGTTGATCATATGTGTCCTATGCTAACTGTAGCCAGTTAGGTAGAATCAGGGTTGACATGTGTGCTCAAGGGGAAGGCTAAACAAGGACATGTGTCTGTATAGAAGGCTTCTCCAGTTCTGTACAGTGTAGCCTGAATAGTGTCTGTATGCCCAAATCATCTTCACAACAGCAGTTTGTTGTCTGCTCCAATACATGTACAAATAATTGATTGAAGCCTTCAAATTCTGTGCCTTAGGAGGTGGCGAAAATAATTCAACTGTTCATCTCAACCATCAATGTATAAGTTAAAAAGAAGAGGGGAATTATCTTATAATGTGCCCTAGTAATCGTAGGTACTAAGGTGCTCTCAAGTTGTTATTAAGGTGCAGATTCAAATAGTTAGTAGTTATATAACTTATCCTATAACTGTTTCTTGACCACTAAGTCAAGGCAGAAGAAAGTAAGTTCAGTAAGAGCCATGATCATCCTTATATTTCCCTGACAGAACTCTCCACATCTTTAAAAAATTTGTGACAAATGGTTAATAAAATAGAGATGTCTGTTCTTAAAATCCAGTTGTTTGTCTTATGGCATACCATCCTGAAATCTCTTGTGCTGAACTTTTTTAAATCAAATACTACAGTTGTTAAAGTGAAGACAGTGCATTGTCTTACGCATCTTTTGGACTTACCAGTGGGATATTTTACCTAGCCTTTTTCTGAGTGAAGGCCTTCAGGATGTCCACCTTCATTTCTTCACTTCCTCAGGGAGAGTTCAGGAAGTCCCCTTAATCCGGGAGATTTATGAGTAAATCCCATACTGGTGCAGAGAATGTTTAACCTGAGCCTGGCTGAACTTGCCAGTCCTATGGAGAACTATTCTGCCTTTAGTCAATTGGTGTTAAGCCAAATGGTAACTAAAGTTGGACTTGTAAAAGTAACTATTCCAAAGCATTCAATGATTATTAAATATGTTTAATTATGTGTAGTCATTAAGGTTCTGTGCCAACTTGGCTTGGCCATGATTCACAGTGGTTTGGCAGTTATGATGTAGTTTGACAGTCGTATAATGATGTGATCACCTCCATAATGAGATCTGATATAATGCGATCACCTCCATAATAGGATCTGCTATGAGTAGCCAATCAATTGAAAGGGTGTTTCCTTGGGGGTGTGGCCTGAATCCAGTATAGGTGGACTTTCTGACAAGGCTCGTGGGCTTTTGCTCGCTCTGGATCCTGCAGCTGACTACTGTTGGTATGACCGCCAGTTCTTGGGACTTGAGCTAGCAGCTTACCTACCATCTTGCCTGCCAGTCTTGGGATTCGTCGATCTCTGCAGCCTTTGAGCTAGAGACCTGCTGTCTAACCTGCCAATCTTGGGTTCGGCCAGGCCCTGCACCTCCATGAGTCAGGAGAAGTCTCTAGCCTGACCCATGGACTGGGGACTTCCCAGTCTCTACAAGAGTGTGAGCCATTTCCTTGATATAAATTTCTCTCTATGTATATTTATATGCTTTACTGGTTTTGCTTCTCTCGAGAACCCAGCCTAAGACAATATGTAAAATATTTAGCGTAGGTATATTATGGGTTTATGTTTCTTTAATTCTTCCCGCTCCCCTGTTTGGTGTCCTCCACAGAAATACTCTTCCCACCAAAAATAGTTCATACTACTCCTCTGCAGGGACGTTGCATCAGAGGTAACGATAAAGGGTGTACTGTCTGCTTAGAAATTGAGACTTCCTATTTTTTCTCCTACCATGAAATATCCTAGGAGGCAGACAGACGCTGTGCCTGCAAATAGTAATTCCAGTGCATGCTAAGAGAAGACTTAAGAAACAAAGGGACCGATAGATAATTTGGCCCCACCACCTGCTGTTCCTGTATGTACTTGCGTCCTCCTTGCCTAGTCATTGTAGAAGAAGGTACCTATTGCAAAATGGAGATTTGAAATGGACTCTTTATTTCTAGATAAGGTTTTGCAGTTTTCCTCATGTCTATTCATTCATTCATTCTAGCTTCTCTATAGTAGAGAAACACATTGCCATCGAGTCAATTCTGACTTGTAGCAACCCTATAGGACAGAGGACAACTGCCCCATAGGGTTTCCAAGGAGCAGTTGGTGGATTCAAACTGCCAACTTTTTGGTAAGCAGCCGAACGCTTAACCAGTTCGCCACCAGGGCTCTGGATAAGCCTGCTTAAATACTGTGGCTGTTTGTTAGTTAGGATCTTAATTATACTTCTTGAAAATGATAAGCGTGTTTCTTTAAAAATAAATTAAAAACTTTAAAAAATGTTGCTTTCAGGTACATCTTCCCCACAGTTGGTGTGCCTGTTGAAGGTTTTTCCCAGGTGTGCTAAGATCCAATGGTCTTGATTTTATTCTGTTTTGAAACTCAGCATCCTTTCCCTTTTAACACAGTGCGGACAAGGAATAGACCACAACTTAGATAATTTATTAACTGCTTGAGATTTATTCATGTTTTCACTGTTATTGTTCAGTGAAGAGACATTTATATACTTTCAAAAATTGAGAGATTTTCTCACTATCAGCTGGCTGCTGTTCATCTAGCCATTCAACTTGCGTTCTCCTTTGTGTATATGAGCCTCTTAGAGTGAAAAAGCTGAGCCATGTGCCTAGGCCTCCTTCTGTCCGTGAAGGCTAGGTGGAGCCACGTATTCAAGCTAAGCGTGATAGTGACTTAATGAATTTCTTAACGTGGATTTTCATTGATTGATGTTTCATAAGACAAATAATATTCCATGTACATTACCCTGTAAGAAGAGCAGCTAAAGAGAAATTAAACCAGCAGGGCTCTCTGATAAAGGTGAGTCTTGAAGCTGTATTTTCAGATATGTGGAGTTCTGGAACTGTGGAGAGACAGTTCCACACTGTTAAGGTGGCACATGCAGTCGGTTCATTGCTAAACATTGCAGTTGTTTTTAATTGGTAGTTTTTATAGTTGTAGCAATATCCATAGAGGGAAGCTGTATTCTTATTAAAATGTGTGATTGTTTTTAGGCTTCAGAAACTAGCTCTAAGAAATAATTCTACATCTACAACCCAACATTTACGACTGCTTATTAGAGGACAAGATCAGGACTGCTTTCAGGTTTGTAGAGTGCATGGTTTGGTTCTGTTTTATGTTTTTGCTGAATCCAGGAAACTTACATATGAAGATAATTCTGTGGTGTTTATATTTTAAGAGCTTGTGTTAATGGTATGTTTTATTTGTGCTGCTGCTTTGTTTTATGCAATGATTGTTTTTAAATTGTAGCTTCAGAACATTTTTGGTACAGAAGAGCGATTGACCAGTAATTGTGAGATCAGAATTCGTCCAAAAGAAGACATTAACATCTATGTATTATTTGCGCCTACTCGATTATCTTGTATGTTTGCTAAACTAGAAATTAAACAACTTGGAATTCGATCACAACTAGGCATTAAGTTCACAGTAAGATAATTTTATTGCTTTTTTCCCTTTCTTGGAATTTATGACATGTTGTAATAATTGGTTTAATAGTAGTAAATTTATATACTCTTTTTTATAAAAAGTCAAAATATATGACTGTCTAGATTTACGAACAGGTTAGGGAGTAATTATATCTTTATAGTATTTTCATGTTATAAAAAGCAGCCACCATAGTATTCATATAAGTAACAGTCTCTTCCAGTGCTTTTAAATCTTGTTTGTTTGAAAATTTTGAAATGTACCAACTATTGAGCTGTTTAAAACAATGACTTTCCAAGTGATTCTTATTCTTCAAGTTAGCAAATATTATTAACACCATTTGCTAAACTCTGTTCCAGATACTGGGGATACAGACACAAGAGTTTTTATATTTTGTTTATTCCTGGCATTGTTTTTAAAAAGGATTTGAGGTCATTTTTATAAATACATTCAAAGCACATAAGAAATAAAAATGACGAATCATTGAGGAACGGGAATAAGGGCAACGCAGTCTAATGAAACCTGGGCTGCTTAACAATGCAGACCCTGAAAGTGCACACTTGTTCGACAGTGGGGTGTGACTAAAATTGTGATTCTGTTAACTAGTGTCAGAGAGGGAATATGATCAATTACAAGATTAATAATATCTAAAATTTAAAAAAAAAAAGACATGGCAAATACAGCTTTATTTAATGCTGGAGCTTGACATATTTCTGTGGAGCCCCTTGATGGGCCCCTTGAGCTGTGGTGAACAAAATTGTTTAAAGACTTAAATGATCATTTTTAAATAGCACCCTTGCATGTGAGCCCAGGATACAGTGGTGCATAGTTCTCTATTGATCTGGTTTTGTATAAGGATGACGTTTGGTTTGTGGAGAGGACTAAATGGGTTGCATCTTTCAAACTATCCTGAGTATGTTTTGATTCTTTTCAGGTTTACTAGCCAAGAATTTGAGGTTATTCTTAAGCAAGAATCTCAAGAAAACTAATAATTCTCTGATGATTTAGGGCAGAACCACTTGATTTGGCAGTCAACCAAGTTTGGGTTTGATGTCGTTTTAAGAAAAATCATCATACTAACTAGGATTCCTACCTAAATAGCTGGCTGTCTGTCTTCTCCCAGAGATGGACTGGGCATGAGGTACCTGTGAGTTTACAGAAGAATGTGGCTTTTATCACAAGAAGACTTAGACTCTTAATAGTGATGTGTCTTTGTAAAGATAAAAGTCGCCTGGCAGAGTGCTGGAGAGCACTTAACTCTAAGGTTAAGAACACCTGGGAGCCAGCCCTGTCCCTGTTACTTGCAAAGGTATTAGAATAAACCACTTGGCTTGTGCCTCACTTTTCTTGTTGGTAAAGTGTAGCTACTCGCCATCCCAACTTCCCAGTTTGGTTCTGTGGAACAAATGAGATTATCTACACTTCGTATACCATAAAGCATGATGTGAGTGCAATAAAAATGTATTTATAGAATACTGAATATTTGCAAAGCACTACCCTTAATCACTACATGGAGTATCACATTTATCTTCAAGACAACCCTCTGAGATAAATGTGCTATCCCCATTTTACACATGTGGAAACTGAGGCTTCGAGCAATGCATGCCCAGGACCGTGTATCCCACCTGACAGTGACTCTAGAGGCTGGGTTCAAATTCAGGCTGTCCTTCTGCAGAAACTACATTTATCTATCATTGAGTCTTCAGGGTGTTAATATTAGCTCTGTATTTTGTCGTCCTCTGGAGCAGTGCTTCTCAATCAGAGGCTGTTTTACCCTCCATGGGACATTTGGCAATGTCTGGAGACATTTTTGCCTGTCATAACTGGGCCTAGGGCAAAGGTGCTAGTGGCATGTAGTGAGTAGGGGCCAAGGATGCTGCTAAACATCCTACAATGCACAGGACAGTCCCCACTACAATGGATTATCTAACCCAAAATGTTAATAGCACTGAGATTAGGAAACCCTAAACTAAACTGGTAGTTTTCCTGTTCAACCTATGGATTTATTGGCATTAGTTAGATTTTGTTTCATTTAATCATTAGTTCTTCCTCTTAACCTTGTATTCGTTATTTTGATTCCTTAGGCTTTGAAAATACAAGAAGAATACCTATATTCAAAGCTAACTTTTTCCTGTTATCATTTTCTATTTACTTTCATACGTAAACTTTATTTGCAAGTTTCTGTGGAAGAGAACAATTGGAAATGTTTTTGGCTTCTTGAAACTACCAGGGCTTATTTTGAATGATATGGGATTTGTAGGAGGTTCAGATCTGAAGCTATTTAAAAATGCTATTAGTTTGTACTTAAAGGGCAAGCCAATACAAATTGAGGAGGAGGAGCCTAAATTTAATTTTCAAAATGTTATTTCAGTTAAATACATAACTCAAAATAAGCTTATTGGTATTTTCAAGTTTGCAAGGGATTTTTTGAACCTGCGTCATTCAGAATCAACTTGACAGCAGCGGGTTTGGTTTGGTTCTTATTAATTAGGAATAAGTGATAATTTTTAAAGGACTATATTTTAAAGGGTATGAAAGTTTGTTTTCTAGCAGGGTAAATAGTTCCTTTGCATTCTTCTCTATAGACTTCATTCTGTGAGTATGTTTTTCATAGTAGTGCTGAGCCCTGTGAAAACAGAAGGAAGGGCTCAGTGGACAGCATTACAGAATGAGTCCTAAAACCTGGGTCTGGTCCGTTGCTTCCACTTATTACTGGTGTGCCTGTTCTCTGATAGTTGTTTGAATTCTTATCTTTAATTTAGTCTCTTGTGCATGCTTCTCTTTGATACCAACTAGACCAAAAGCGAAGAGGGGTATATTATAATAGACTTTTCCCCCAAAACATTTTATTATGAAAATTTTCACAATTACTGAGAAGTTGAAAGAATTATACAGTGAACACCCATATACCCTACCACTTAGATTCTACAGTTAACATTTTGCTGTATTACAGTTTGAACCAATGTAGCGGTTCTGTGGGAGAAAGATCTGGCAATCTGCTTCGGTAAAGATTATACAGCCAAGAAAACCCTATGAGGCAGTTCTGCTCTGTCACATGAGGTCACTGTGAGTCGAAATCGACTCAATGGCATGTGACAACAATATTTCTTTTATTACATGTCTACCATTTATCTCTCAATTCTTCTATTTCCTTCTATTAAAGTACATTACAAATATCCATATATTTCACCCTAAGCACTTTTTAAGCATAAGTATAATCTTTTTATTGTTCCTTTATCATTTAAGCTT